GCCAAACACATGCTGAGAGAGTTTATAGAATATTAAGAATTTAAACAAATGTACACAGGAAGATTCGTCGTCTTTTGGGAGATGATTGAAACTACAGTCGTTGGCAGGATCAGAGACGGGCTCTGGCAGGATCACTCTGATTTCGTTTTCAGCTTATGTTCAAAACAATCACGTTTAAGCCACTGAATTAGTTTAGTCCGGTTATACAACCGCGAACAGCACATGTTGTCCCTGAGCTCCGTAACGACATCTCTCATAAAGATTTGCGTCTTTAAATAGTAAAATAATTCTCTGAAAAACAGCTAGCCTCTTCGCTAACTAACACACAAAATACCATTGGAATGCTACTTCCGCCGCGTCACCGGAAGTTTCAACCACTTTATTTTTTACAGGAGCTCCCCCGGAAACTTGTGGATAAGACAAATAAAGTGTTTTTCTATCCTTGCATGCATGTTAAACTGTTTTTGGGAACTCCTAAAACAAAAATAGGAACATTTCAAATGCTATGATAGGGGCTTTTTAAATAATTAATATTGTATTTGTTTTATTTATTCATTATTATATTTTAATGCAGAGACTGTTCTTTTTTTAATATATATATATATTGTATGTTCAGATTCTCAAACCAGAATATTCTGGGGTCCATGAAAGTTTTGTGAAAAGATAAAAAATGTTGGTGGTGTCTGGCAACTTGAGAAAAAAAATGCTGGTGGGAAAAATGAGTAACTGAGAGGGAGGAAATCCAAGTAAATGTGGTTTGGATTTTGAGAACTTTTCCAAAACAAACACAGAAGGCAATGGTTATAAACTTTATATGCTGTATATAGCAGGGTGATTATAGTAAATAAAAACTAATTCTAAAACCATAAAAAAACATATTGTTGCCTGAAATAAAATATACTAAACATTTTTTATTTCAACATTTCTCATTTTTATTTAGTCTAACTTGATTTACTAAAATAACTAAAACTAAAGCTGAGTTAACAGTTGTGTAGATATTAATGTAGACTTTAAAATAAAACTAAATTTCCAAAATTTACGATTTTAAAAATCATTTAAAATGTTAATATAAACTATAGTAGTATATAAGATACTCAAATATCTCTGGTATATTGTTCGTAATATATTATTATTATTATTATTATCATCATCACACAGAAGATTGAATTCTTCCACGTGCTGAGCAACACAAGTGCTCAACCAGAATGACTGCAGTCGCAATTCCCACGAGTCCTGACAGAACCGATCGGGTCACAACCTCAGTCACACCACAGTGCTCCGGACAATCTGGAAAAAGATGGATTAAAAAGGAGAGGTTTGCAGAAATGAAACATTCATTGTGTTCGCAGCTTTGTTAGAGACAGAAGTTGCTCTGAGGAAACTGTGGCAGGAAAAAGCTTGTGGTACACTTTATTTTTATACCTTCATTGTGAGGGCAGAAGTCATTGATCTGTGGATGGGTGGTGGTGTTGCTGTTCTGTGGGTGGGGGGCGGTGTCGGTGTTTACATGCGATGTACCTGGTACAGAAGAGCTTGGCAGCTTTTTGGACTTCTCTTGAAAAACATTAGAGTTTGTTTATGATACAGTAGATCATAGAATGACAAACATCATCATTGCCATCAGAATACACTATACATAATACACCTCCACTCCTGCTGATTTGTCCCTATTGTAAGTATGTAATGTTGTGAGTCGTGAGTTATCTAAACTGTTAATGGGGTTACGATTATAATGCTATAGAAAAAATGACAAAATGTGCACCTTTTGGGTTTGTAGTCTTTGTAATTACGTATTTTCACAGTCTACCTTGACTTTAAAATCATATATATCTTTTAAATTGACAAACATCATATGTGTAATTCAGAGCACAGTTTAAACGGGATCCAAAAATTTGTTGTCTCTCGCCATTGACTAACGTTACCATACAACATTTTTCCGAAATAAGGTCCCATGGTGTTCCACCGGAAGGGGAGGGGCTTAGGCTCTCTGTAGACTGGCAGATGAATGACGTCGAAACCTGGAGGACTAATTTGCTGCTGGTTTCTTTGAGATTTTCCTATATGGGTTTTAGTAATGGAGGTTTTTAATTTATGAGGAAAATAAAGCCGGCGGTAAACTTGATGTTTTGTAATATAACACAAATTACACACACACACTGAGTTGTTAATTTTTTAAAACGTATGTTTTTAATAAGTAGTTAAAACAGTGTGGGGTGTGTGTGCAGCTTACTTTGTAGAACAAAACGCCAAAGTATTGTTAAGTTATGTTTACCACAGACTTTATTTTCCTCATAAATAAAAAAAAAAAAGGAAAGGAAACCATCTCAAAGGAACCAGCGGCGAATTAGATTTCCGGTTTTTGACGTCATCCCTGCACCACATAGAGTTGAAGTAGAGGTGCGCAAGTTTCCTATAATTCATGATATGTCTCTGTGTACATGTGTTACTTGCAGTGCTGACTCTGAGCTGAATGGTTTCTCAGAAACGCTGCAGGTCAATAGTCGGGATGACAAAGCTCTCATTGTTTCTCGTTCATAATTAAATTTAGGCATTTTACATACTTAATCCATTTAGTCTTTTAACTCCAAAATATTTGTCTTTGGTGGCAAGAAAAGTGAAGAGAAATGGAGTAACCAGTAGTGGAAACTCCCACTAGTGACCTCACCGCCAAAGTCGTCGGTAGTGTGAACACAGTTTAAGTCTTGCCTTAAGAAGTAATGGTGCAACCAAATTGAAGAGTTAGCAGTAAAATAAACTTGACGTGAAACTCTATACGAGGCTTTTACTCCTTTCATGCTCTAAATCATCAGATGATAAACTCAGTGTAAAGGCAGACTCCCGTCTAGATTGTTGCACAGTAACCAGAGACCATTGCTTTGGACAAGAGAAAACATTCACTCTTTAACTTCCAATGAAACAATCACCATGAAGCCAGACTTCTGACCCTAGTGTCAAGTAATTGTCGTATTGGCTGAAGCTAAAACTTACCAAGTACTTGAACGTTGAACAACTTCTCTGAGATCTGTTTATTGACAATAATGAATGCTTCAAACAGTCCAGATTCATTAGTCCTGATGTTGGAGATGGATAAAGCTCCAGTGGTTTGGTCAATCTGCACTCTGTCAGCGAATCTCTCATCATAATGTGTGTTAATTTCCCCTCGATGCATCTTGGCAATACGAGTACTTAGATCGTCTCTTTCATAAGACCACTGAATCTGATCGTCGTCCTTCAGATCAACTCCTGGATGTAGATTTAGGACTTCTCCCTCCTTCACTTGAACTGTTTCAAATGCATCAGCCGGTCCACACACTGAACAACATGAACACAGGTTTGATTTGGGTTATATGTACAGGTTTATTAAAAAATTGACAAACAACTGAACATTAACTTGCATGCTCCACCCACCCTAATATGATAATGTCTCAAGTCTTATAAGAAATAATTCAGTTAAAATGTTTATTTTAATATGGTTGGTTCACATTGTGTTCTTAAAAGTGTGCTGTTATTTGTTTAGCACTACTTTATGCAGAAACCACAACACCCGCTGTGGTTATATATTTATATTGGACTGCGCATTCTGCTGTCTATATAGTATTTATGTTTAACTTGATAAAAATCTATGTTTTATATAAAAAAAAATTAACTTTTGCCAGTTTTCAGATCTTCTGTATTCTCAGAAGAACACCACCACAAGTTTCATTTTCAGAGAAAAACAAGAGTTTACAATTAAGATTTTAACAATTACATGTAGACAACTTCAATTATGTGAAAATCCTTAATTGTGTTTGAGGACTTATGACAGTATGCCTTGTCGAGTGTCTCTCAAGTTACACGGTGACCACAATCCCTAAAATATTAGAAAACATTTAAGATTTTAAATATCTTACCCTTCACACTGATGAAAAACCCAATGAAAATCCCGATGCTGATGGACATTATGAACAATTATCAGCTGTTATTATAAGTTGTGTAGCTCTTGATGATGATCCTCAACCTGATCTCATGAACATTCAGTGAAGATTTAAAGTGTCTATGACTTTCATCAGGAAGTGACACATTGACCACAGAAACTGATGTTACTTACTGGGGGTTAAAAACCTTTCAGCTACAAACTGTCATGATTCTGCCATCATCTCCTTGATTTTTCCTAGTCTTGTGGCAGGATCATGACAGACCCATGTTTTATGTGTAAGCACATGGCCATTTGTTTGGGCTGTGTGCTTGCTTTGTCTTGTCACCTAGCCCTTGTAATTATTAGACCATCGTTTTCACCTCTGTTCCTGATTAGTTTGCTCCCTATTTAATCCCCTCATGTCTTCTGTCCTGTGTCGGTACATTGTGAGTTTTTCGCTGTGAGTATTAACCTGTTTTATGAGAATTGTGAATTTGTTTCCTGTCAAATCAGAGTCTTAGTGTCTAAGTTGTACTCTCCTCCAGTCCTGTTTGTTTGTGAAACGATATGGTCATCTTGGTTTTACAGTAACTTTATACATTCTCGTGAGAATTGTTCAATTCAGTGCATGAAGTTCGCCCACAGAAGAATAAAATAATTTGTTTGTCCATCGTGATAGATGGGCTAAGTGATAGCTGTCTTTGCTAAACCTCGTCGATATAACAACAATAGTAAAACGATAACTTAAACATGTCAATTCACGTGTTATAGTTTAATTTATCTTTACAACGCAATAACGCACCTTCAACTGAATGCGAGCGCGCTCCCGCGACCGGGGGTACACTTTCTTTCCTTGGCACGACACTCGGGCGGCACCGTCATCATAGATAGTAGCCTACTATATAGTTTGTTTTGATTTGTGCGCGATCAGACAAACAAAGACTAGGTCATTAAAACAACGTGATCATTTTACCGTCCGCTTGCGTGAAATGACTAAACGTAAAAGCTTTACATTTTGCGAGGGTTGTGGACAGTAGGCCTATTGAGCACACCCACATACAGGTGTGTGTCCTCTTCCGTCTAGCAAACACACTTTTACTTTCGATTTTGTTTCAAACATGTAGGCTAATAGGCTAATGGCGTCCAGTTCAGGTAGGCTAAGAATCAAATCTTATCGAATATGCTGGAAAATATGTCGGAACAAGTAGTTTAAAGGCATGCTGTACGGAAATGTACCTTTCTTCTGCTGTAATAATGAAGCAACGCAGTTGCATATTTTCTTTAAAGTTTCGTGAATATTAAGGAAGTGCGGCTTGTGGTAGCCTAAATGTGAGGCCTAATTGATAATAATCAATCCTCCACGACTCGGAGGCTAAGTTTGTCATTACGTGAAATCATACGATATCACAATTTTCAGTAACATTTAATTAAATTATAAACTTCTTCAATTGGTGTACCCTTTTATCTTCACAATACTCATATACATAGGGCTAGTATTTTGTAACCAGATTGATTTTTAAAACGTTTTGAGCTAGCTATGTGTGTCATTGTCAGACTAAAAAGGGTACATAATCTGACCACTCATTTGCTATAAAAAGCAGTTTGAAACAACCATGTTTAGGCTATCCATCGATATGCGACTAATCTTTGGTACATTGAATTCAGTATATAAACTGCAGCCATTCTAGACTGTAAACGCTTTTTTTTATCGCTTGTCAATTTTGTATATTTGTTGCTTTTTATCTGCAGGAAGCAGAAGTCTGCAAAGACAAAGTAAAGATCCCCCGGACAAGGAAGCCAATACTGGTGGTAAATATATATATCATACAGATGTAAATGGTTTTGAAAAAAAAAAGAAGAAATTTTTCATTTACTTAGCCTATCCTCATTGCATTCAATCCCCATATTATTTCCTAGCAGGCTATCAACTTTTGTGTTTTATGAAAGAAAGAATCTGATAATGAGCTGGAATATTAAATGTTGACATTTTTTTTTTGTGTTAATATTCTTTAATAAATAAAAATGATAATAGAAATTGGTAAAATAATTTGTGAAATTTTAAATTGCATGTTATTTTATTTGCAGTTAAAAGAGGACGACGGAGTCCATCTCTTGAACGACCTTTTAGTAAGTAACTGTATATGAAATGAAGTTAATAAGGATCAATAATTAAATATTGGTACAAAAAACATAAGATAATACATTTATTGATTATGAATGATGTTGCACAACACGGAGCGATGGGGCTGTGCATGTACCATTACTGTATATGACCCCTTTAAGAAGTCAAAACTAGGCTTAGTTGTAACTTACACCTTTGCTGGTGCAACCGACCCTGGTCTAGGAACTGAAATATGCCATTTGAAATTTGCCATTATTGCTAATGGGTTCAATTAGTCGAGTGTCTGTTAATTTGTGTTCTCTGTTCCAGTGAGTGATTTAAGGATTGTTCTGCTGGGGACAAATGTAGCAGAAAACAGCAGAGTGGGAAACTTCATCTTAGGAAGAGCAGCGTTTGAGAGTGAAACTCCTGCTGATGTAGAGCTACACATTGAAAAACACAGAGGAAAACTGAAGGACAGAGACGTCAGAGTCATCAACGCTCCTCAACTGCTGCAACCACATCTGTCAGTCTCTCAGATCACACAGGGAGTGAAAGAGTGTGTGGATCTGTCTGCTCCTGGACCTCATGTCATCATACTTATACTGAAGAAGAACGACTTCAGTGATAATGATGGAAACAGACTGAAAGATGTGCTGAATGAATTCAGTGAGGAGGCTCTTAAACACACTATAGTGCTGACTAATGAGGAAGAGATACACAATAACTGTATTAATCAATTCATAAATGAATGTGGAGGTGGACATCTTCAGTTTAATGAACAAAACACAGGATTACACTCTGAGATACTCGAAAGAGTAGAGAAGATACTCAAAGAAGAAGAGGTTCAGTTTCCTATTGAGGAAGCAAGAGAACGATTATCAGAGGATGAAGAGCAGAGCAGATCTAGAAGTTCAGTCACAGCAGAAGAAGAGGGAGATCGTGATCATGAAGATATTAAAATCAAACAGAGCAACAAAGGGAAAAAGGAGGATGCTGTCCAACGAAATACCTGGTGTAAGTTTTGTTGAAGAAAGTTAGTTAACCCTCGCATGCACATCACTCGCTTCAAGAGAAAGAAAATAAAAAAAAACTTACAATGATAAATGAAAATACAAATGATATACAGTCAGTATATTATTTTATAATATCTATATGAATGATAGGACACAAAATCTCCAAAAGACCAGGATAGACTGTGGCTCAGGTCTTATAACCTACTTTTCTCATCTTTTCTTCAGTGACTTTATGGCTTTTATGCAGAATTTTAAGCAGAATTTGGATATGGTTCACCTAATGTCACAATAAAACATTTACATAATTACAGTACGTTAAATTCACATCCAATTCAAATTCGCAATATATTTGGTTTCAGTTTGTTCTTTTGTAATTTGTAATAATTCAGACAGATTTATCCTAAATGTTTCTAAGATTTAACTTTAAAGGGTAATTCCACTGGTGGAGATATGAATATGTATTGAAATGGGTCATATATGTAGTAGAATAGTATCATAAATTTCTAATGTGGGTCCTTCTTGACTTTTCGGAAGCCCGAAAAGTCATGTGTGACGTCATTGACCAGGAAACTATAAAGCACCCCTGAAATCAGACAGTGCTAGCTTCTGCACCTTCAGCAAGCGCTCTCTGTGAAATCTGTCCTTGTCTATTTATTGTTGTCTTCATCAGCTTTGTGTTGCTTGTCTGGGAATGAAGCATACCCAATCAGTTCTCGAGGGAGCTGATTGTGAGCATTGCATGAGTTTGTCCATGAAAACTCTCCGCTCTCGCCAGGCATTCTTTGAGGAGGACGGTTCGGTTCGCGTTCCTTGAGGTGCAGGTCCCGCTGCTGCCGAGGCACAGTGGTGGCTTCCACAGTTTGTATAATCCACAAACTAGTAATTATAGTAAATTTCAAGGGATTGATCACTATGTGTATCCCTAAATCCGTTCCACAGGATCAAGGTCACGCGGCAATGCCTTCGTGCCTTGATCATGTGGAAGAAACCTTGGTTCCTTGCCCAGGGCCCAGTGTTGGGGGCTTCTTGTCACGCATCACGACGTGCCTCCCTCACGGGATGGGGGGCGGTCATGAGTGGCCGTTCGGCGCAAGGTCTTTGGCAGGACCATCAACGTTTCTGGCACATAAATCGTTTGGATATGATGGCGGTATTTCAAACTCTCAAATATTTCCTGCCAGACCTGGGAGGCCATCATGTGTTGGTTTGCACGGAAAACACATCAGTGGTCTCTTATATCAACCATCGGGGGTTCTGAGGTTACGTCACCTTTGCAAGCAGGCCCATCAGATCTTGCTTGGGCCCAGGGAAATTTGCTATCACTCAGGGCAGTATACATTCCGGGGCATCAGAATTTGGGAGCCGATATCCTGTGGAGGCAGGGGCTGAGGCCCGGGGAGTGGAGACTTCACCTCGAGGTGGTTGAGCTCCTGTGGGAGAAGTTTGGTCGAGCTCAAGTAGACCTTTTCGCATCGTCAGATACAACCCATTGTCCCATGTGGTTCTCCCTCACACAGCAAGCTCCCCTCGGACTGGATGTGATGGTACAGGTGTGGCCGAGGCTACACATGTACACATTTCCCCCGATATCCATCCTTCCGGGGGTTCTGGAGAGGGTTCACCGAGAAGGGGCTCATCTGCTACTAGTAGCCCCTTACTGGCCGACTCGAATTTGGTTTTCGGACTTAATGTCTCTTCTGGACGGCTCTCCAATGGAGATTCCGCTCAGGAGGGACCTGCTGTCTCAGGTAGGGGGCACAATATTTCACCCTCGACCGGAGTTGTGGAAACTGTGGCCTGGCCTCTGAGGGGGCCCGGCTCATAGAATCCGGTCTCTCGAATAAGATCGTTGAGACCATTCTCCATTCCAGAGCCCCTTTCAAGAGAAGACTGTATGCATTAAAATGGAAATTATAGTCCACCTGGTGTGGTTGGTGTCATTTAGATCCTGTTAACTGCCCTGTTGGTTCAATTCTCTATTTTTTTACAAGACCGTTTCTCTGCTAGATTTTCTCCTTCCACCCTAAAGGTTTATGTGGCCGCTATATCTGCCTACCACACCCCTATGGGGGGTATTTCTATTGGGAGAAATCCTCTTATTATTCGTTTTCTCCGTGGTACATTGAGGTTGAGACCCGCACTGCACTCTAGCACCGGCCTGGGATTTAGCCGTTGTACTTGAAGGTCTGGCTTTGGCTCCCTTCGAGCCCATTGAGGTTTAAGAAAAATTCCTCACTCTAGAGACTCTTTTTCTCCTTGCTATTTAATCTATCGGAAGAATTGGAGATTTACATGCCCTGTCGGTTGCTCCCTCATTTCTGGAATTTGCACCTGGTATGGTGAAAGCATTTCTCTACCCTAGACCAGGTTATATTCCTAAGGTCCCAGTTAATGTTGGGGGCCCAATAGTGCTGCAGGCCTTTTATCCTCCACCTTTTAATACCCCAGATCAGGAACAACTGAACCTGTTATGTCCAGTTAGGGCATTAGATGCCTACGTTCACAGAGTCGAGGCTATATAGTCGTAGTCGAGGCTATATCATTGGCTCATGAAGCGGCCAGACAGCCTTCACCTATGGCTGTTCGGGCCCATTCTACAAGGAGTGTGGCGGCCTCTGCGGCCTTAATTTCGGTTGTTTCCCTGCTTGATATCTGTAATGCGGCAGGTTGGTCCTCTCAGCATACATTTGTCAGGTTTTATGACCTTGACCTCTCCACTCCAGGGGCTAGGTTGCTTGCTTCTTGTGCGCAAGGACTTCACACAGTACAGGCATTTCTCACTATGGCGTAGTGGGTATGGGATTCCCACCGTGTCTCAAACACAGCTCGAAGTTCCCTTGAAAGGGAACGTCTTAGGTTACGTATGTAACCCTGGTTCCCTGAGAGGGAATGAGACGCTGCGTTTGCCTGGCATACTTCCTGCATGCCCTGATCGACTTGTTTCAGGTTTTTTCAGAAGCTAGCGCGGTCTGATTTCAGGGGTGCTTTATAGTTTCCTGGTCAATGACGTCACCCATGATGTTTCGGGATTTCATTGGACTGATTTCATTTTGTAATCACGCAGGGCATTCCCACCGCATCTCAAACGCAGTGTCTCGTTCCCTCTCAGGGAACCAGGGTTTCATATACGTAACCTGAGACGTTTTCTCTTTTTCAGATTCATTAGAGGATTCAGATGATGTAAGGATTGTCCTGCTGGGAAAAACTGGAGTTGGGAAGAGTGCAACAGGAAACACCATCTTAGGGAGAGAAGCTTTTAAAGCAGCCGTGTGTCAAGAGTCAGTTACTAAAGAGTGTCAGAGAGAGACGGCTGAGATTGATGGCAGACTCATTACTGTGATTGACACTCCAGGATTGTTTGATACTAAAGTTAGTCATGAAGAGATCCAGAGAGAAATCAGTACCTGCATCTCCATGATTCTGCCTGGACCACATGTGTTTCTGTTACTGGTACCAGTGGGACGATTCACTCAGGAGGCGGCAAACACAGTGAAGAAAATTCAAGAGACTTTTGGTGAAAACTCATTAATGTACACTATTGTGCTCTTCACCGGAGGAGATAATCTGAAGAAGACGACCATTGAAGAGTATTTAGGAAAACCTGGATCTGCTTTGATGAAGCTCATCGGACAGTGTGGAAACAGATATCATGTGTTCAATAATAATGAGACTGGAGACCGTGTGCAGGTGTCTACATTACTGCAGAAAATCAGTGACATGGTGACAGCAAATGGAGGGAGTTACTACACATGTAAGATGTTCAGACAGATGGAAAGAGAGAAACAAGAAGCACAGATGAAGAAGCTAAAGGATGAAGTGGAGGAACTGAAGAGAAAGAGAGAAGAACTGCTGGCCAAACATGAAGAAGAGAAAGAGAAAATAAAGATGAAGATTGAGGAAGAAAGAAATAATCATGATGCAGAGAAGAAGAGAAGAGAAGAAGAATTTGAGAAACGGAGGGAGACAGAACAAAAGATGTGGGATGAATCTTATCAGAGACTTAAAGAAGAGAGAGATGAAATCAAAAGAGAGAACGAGAGATTTAAAAAAGAGAAAGAAGATCTTCAGGTCAAACATGAAGTAGGAATAGAAAAGATGAAGAGGATGATGGAGGAAGAAAGACAGAATCATGACACAGAAAGGAGGAAGAGAGAAGAAGAAATCAGGAAGAGTGAAGAAAAATACAAAACACAACTAGAGAAATTGTTGACAAAGATACAAGATGAAAAACAGAGAAGGGAAGACGAAGATGAGAAGAGGAAGGAGAAAGAACAAAACATAAGAGATCAATGTGATGAGAAAATAAAGAGAGAGAGAGAGGAAATCAAAAGAAAAAAAGAGAGGATAGAAAGAGAGAAAGAAGATCTTCAGGCCAAACATAAAATAGAAATAGAAAAGATGAAAACAAAGATGGAGGAAGAAAGACAGAATCATGACACAGAGAAGAGGAAGAGAGAAGAAGAAATCAGAGAGAATGAAGAAAAATACAAAAGAGAAATTAAAATAGAACAAGAGAAATGGGAAAAAAAGATACAAGCGGAAAAACAGAGAGGAGAAGAATTTGAGAAAAGGAGGGAGAAAGAACTAAACATGTGGGGTGAATCTTATCAGAGACTTAAAGAAGAGAGAGATGAAATCAAAAAAGATAAAGATAGATTTAATAGAGAGAAAGAAGATCTAAAGGTCAAACATGAAGTAGAAATAGAAAAGAGGAAGAAGATGATGGAGGAAGAAAGACAGAATCATGACACAGAGAGGAGGAAGAGAGAAGAAGAATTGAATGAAAAAGAAGAACGATACAGAAAAGATATCAAAGAAAAAGAGGAACAAATGCAGAAACGTCAGGAGGAAAAGCTAAAACAGATGCAAGATGAGTGGAGGAAGCGGGAGGAAGAACAACGTAAGATTTATGAAGACAAAATTAATTTAATAGAACAACAGAAGCAAGATGAACTAAATAGAGAAAAACCTGCAAACTATGAAAAGAACATAAAACATGAAAATAATTATGTCAAATTCACATCAAATTCAAATTCTCAATTTGTCTAATTTAGTTTGTTCTTTTGTATTAGCAACAATTCAGACAGATTGCTTCTAAATGTGTGTAGGATTTTACTTTAAAAGACTAGCAGCATGACTCAAGCAGTTTTCTCTTTTTCAGATTCATTAGAGGATTCAGATGATGTGAGGATTGTCCTGCTGGGAAAAACTGGAGTTGGGAAGAGTGCAACAGGAAACACCATCTTAGGGAGAGAAGTGTTTATGGAAGACATGTCTCTTGAGTCAGTTACTAAAGAGTGTCAGAGAGAGACGGCTGTAATTGATGGAAGACTCATTACTGTGATTGACACTCCAGGACTGTTTGATACTAAAGTTAGTCATGAAGAGATCCAGAGAGAAATCAGCAACTGCATCTCCTTGATTCTGCCTGGACCACATGTGTTTCTGTTACTGATACCAGTGGGACGATTCACTCAGGAGGCGGAAAACACAGTCAAGATCATTCAAGAGACTTTTGGTGTGAACTCATTAATGTACACTATAGTGCTCTTCACCGGAGGAGATGATATAAAGAAGAAGAAGACGATTGAAGAGTATCTGGGAAAAACAGGATCTGCTTTGATGAAGCTCATCGGACAGTGTGGAAACAGATATCATGTGTTCAATAATAATGAGACTGGAGACCGTGTGCAGGTGTCTACATTACTGCAGAAAATCAATGACATGGTGAGAGTAAATGGAGGGAGTTACTACACATGTAAGATGTTCAGACAGATGGAAAGAGAGAAACAAGAAGCACGAATGAAGATGCTAATGGATGAAGTGGAGGAACTGAAGAGAGAGAGAGAAGAACTGCTGGCCAAACATGAAGAAGAGAGATTGGTTCAGGCATCCACTACTAGATGGCGGGACCTGTAAAATACTGCTGCTGCTACTGCTATTATCGGGAGATGTTCATTTGAATCCGGGACCACTTTCTCACTCAGAGCTAAAACTCAATAGAGCACAAAACCATCAGATGGAGTTAGTATCACATTGACTAAAACAATTATTTACTGTGCATATTGACATGCTTATTGACATTACCTGCATTTTAACACAAACGTTCATGATTATGCAAGTCAAACTGGATGTTTGCTTCTTCACGATTTTTCTCATAGCCGTAAAACTGAGGGTCCAGATAACATGTGATAGCTTTTATATTGAGGGCAATTAAAGACAATTCACATACTTAACAGTAGGATACAGTTAAAAATGTGTATCTTACCCTCCGCACAGATGAAATATAAGATGAAAGCCCACATACTGATGGATGTTTGTGATGTGTTCTTCTTCGTCTCACCCGCAGCTACTCTGAGCAGGATGAACACCTGCAATGAATTCACTTACATTGGTTCCACCAAAAGATGGCAGTGACTCTCAAAAAAACTCCCAGCTTTCTTGTTTTCACATGAGAGTAAAACTCATAAACAAGAAACTAAGAAACCAACTGAACAAACAGACAGGTGTAAGTGATTAGCTTTTTCTTTCTTTCTTTTTTTTTGTAGCAATTAATGGTAATGTGTTAGTTATTTTCCTTTTTCCTTCTAACAATAATGTCTGAGGGAAAAGACAGACTGTTCAGGAAAAGATTTATGTTTAAATGAATAGAGAAACCCAGGCTACTAGGCCTTTAGTATATTAACCCTTTAATGCCGCATGTATCATATTTGATACACGAGTTTCTAAGACGTATATTAAATCAGTGAGAGCAATACTTTCTTTGAAAACCTGTTGTATCTATTTTTATACGTGTTTTTTGCCATCTTGTGGAATTTCACTGTACTGCAGGCAGTAGAGGGGTGATTTTTTAGCTTTTCAAAATGGCCGCTGCGATTGGAGCAAGCCAGATGATTTCGGCAGGAAAATAAAGGCTAATTTCAAGTTGTTAAGGTAAAAAATAATATTGGATTGTGCCTAATATAATTTATTGAACACTTTCTGAATTGAAATAATGCATAATTACTTAATAGTTTAATTTTTAAATTCCAAGTAAATCGTGTTGGAAATTGTGTATCAAATTTGATACAGCAGGCTTTTAGGGAACGTTTTGCTTACAGTGTATATTTATACAGTGTATATTTTAGATACAAATCTATTATGCCTTTAACCGTTTGAAATCATAGAACATTTTAGGCTGTTTTTCTCTCTTTTTTAACATAGATCTTTTTTTCCAGTCCTTTTATTTCACTTTGTGGTAGTCATAAAGTAGATAGCATTACTGCAATTTGACATTACAGACATAAAGCACCATTAAAGGGATAGTTCACTTTGAAATTTATTTTTGATATGTTTTATCTTACCTCAAGGTCATCCAAGATGTAGGTGTCTTTGTTTCCACAGTATTTTCAATTTTTATATTTTTTAGGTCAAACCGTTCGTGTCTATCAATCATATAATGGATGTCTATGGGGTTCACCTCAAAGAGCATGCACAGAGAAGTCCAAATTAAACATGATTTAATGACTCGTAAATGTAAGTACACATTGATGGCCTAAGACACGAAACGAGTGGTTTGTGTGTAAAATGAATAGTATTTATATAGATTTTACCTCTTGTAACCACAGCCACGTCCAAGTGATCTGAGGGTGCGGGCGCTTTGTGGCTATGATTACAAGAGGTAAAAACGATATAAATACTGTTCGTTTTCCACACAAACCGCTCGTTTCGTGTCTTAGGCCATCAATGTGTACTTAAATTTACGAGTCATTAAATCATGTTTAATCTGGACTTCTCTGTGCATGCTCTTTGAGGTGGACCCCATAGACCTCCATTATATGACTGAAAAAAATATATCATAAACAAAATGACTTGGCAAAATTTTTTTTTTTTGATTTTGATTCAAGGCTTAATAAACATCAAATTTCCAAAAATATATAATTTTCTGCCATTTTTTTTAATGTGTCAGGCTTTAAAGGATTAACTTTAGAAGCATTTGTTAGCTTAGTTTTCATTTTTGGGCTGTTTTTTTGTGAATTTTTTTATATCATTTCTTAATTTTTAAAAACGAATGTAGGCTAATATACAAGTAATTAAATAAATCTTTATGTATAGGCACTTCAAATCGAACTAAAATCATATTGATTTTAAAGAAATAAGTTATGATGCTACATATGTTGAGCTATATCTTTAAAAAAACACATTTTCTACTCTGTTTTTAACTGTTTTTATATTTAAATGATAACTAACTGGATAGCTGATTTACAGTTTAAGCTTGGTTTAAGTAGAAGGGGCGGGAAGTGCGCGACTATACAGTGACTCTCAAAAACTCCCACATTTTATTGTTTTCACATGAGAGTAAAACTCATAAACTTGTTTAAGAAACTAACCGAACGACAGACAGATGTACGTGATTAGCTTTTTTTGCATCAATTAATGGTAATGTGTTAGTTATTTTCCTTTTTCTTCTAACAATAATGTCAATAATGTAGAAGTATTTGTTAGCTTAGTTTTTATGATGCTGCTTGTGTTGAGCTATTTCTTTAAAAAAAAAAAAAAAAAAACTTTCTACTCTGTTTTAACTGTTTTTATATTTGAATGATAACTAACTGGATAGCTGATTACAGAAGGGGCGGGAGTGCGGGACCAGACGAAGAAAAAAAGTGCGCGAAGAAGTGACGTGACAAAAAAAAATTGACGTGACATGGGAGCCGTTTTTCAGCAGTAGCCTACTACCTCATTGAAGCTTGAAGGATTATTTTCGTCTTGGATGTCTAGATTGAGACGGGATTTTATCGTTGGTTTGTAAGTAGCCTTTGACTAATTAAAACACAAGAGACCGCGGCCAAAGGATATAGCCTGTTGAAAGACATGGGCGGTGCTAGTGTGGGCCGACTGGTTTTAAAATTATGACCCCCTCAAATGTTTTTCACAAAGTTTTCATGTGAGGTTATTTTTGCCACATGGAAAATCAATGAATAAGACGTAATCTTGCGCATTAAATGCCGCAAATTGTAGCTTATTCCAGAATTTCGTTCTTTAGACAACTCTGAAGTAGCCTAACTAGAATAGTTTTTTTTGTTTACGTTTGTTGAAGCTGCGCTACTTCCAGACAGTTCAAGTAGCCTACAAGTAGGCTACTTTTTACATAGTGTGCAGATAGGTCTACATTAGCGAAATACTGTTTGCATGCATTTTGTTGTTGTTGGACAATTTGTTTTACACGATACCATTAAGTTTGTAAAAATCAATGAATTATTTCCCAAAAATTACAAGAAAAGTTGATGTGTCTTTTATTTCCTTCGTTTCATTATCTCTACCTGTGCATGGCATGTGTCAAACTATTGCAAAAAGAGAAGAATAGCCAAGATCCCATAACACTTTACTTCAATGATGTCAAATTGGTTCTTGTGATTGATCATAATATGGCAAGTGAGATTTGAGATTTGTTGCAGATAGCAGGTGAGCTTGACTGCACTTATCATGTGATTCTTGTTTCAATGCAGATTGCTGTTTTATAAATTAGATGGTAAATGTTTAAAGTTGAGAGGCATGTGTTGTGATGTTAGAATATTTTATTGCATGATGGCTTTCCAGGCTAAACACACTTATTATTGACACAGCTGCCATGGTATAGACCACAATCTATAAACCATACAAGTGCACCAGACTAAATGACAGGAAACTATGTAAATTGTGTAGAAACCTTATCTTCATTTGGTTTGGTTGATCTTCATTTGGTTTGGTTGTTGGTCATGCTGGTTGTTTAAAGAGGTCTGCCTTCATGTGGTGCATTTATATAATAAACTCAAGTCAATCAATATCAGAACAACAATGCAGGGTGTTTTTTTGGCTTTTGGTGGCTGTGAAAGCAAAGGAAATTGTACATTTCTGATATACTTAAGTACATTTAAAAATATCTCTCTCTCATATATATATAACTTTTTGCCAGTTCACTGATACTGATGTCTATGAATAAATACTTTACAGCGCAGCGGCATCTTGATGTGAGTGAACATGTATATTTTTATCACAATTTATGGTTAAAGTTAATCCTCTGGGGTCGACAAACGTGCTGGCACATTTTGATGGATTTTTTCACATAGCGGCAAAATATCAATATGAATATATGCCTACAGAGAGCTATTGACATAAACTCGACAAAACTTATCAGATGCTGATCGCGATGCGGGAGTTAAGACTGCAGTTTGAGTCAGCAGCTGCAATTGATATCGCCCGGTGTCCACAGACAATTCACCCTCCTCCACTTAAAGGGGGGGTTGACTGGGATTTCACTTTTTTCATTTTAAATAGTGTGTAATGTTGCTGTTGATGCATGAACAGTATCTGCAAAGTTGCAGCGCTGAAAGTTCAGTGTAAGCAGAGATATCGTCTTTTAAAAATCAGGAAGTATAATTGCCTACAAAAACGACTCGATTGGGACTACAGCTGGGTTTTAGACGTCACTAACCCATACATTTGCATCAACCCTCCCTCCGGAATATGCAGAAAAGGGCATGCGCGTATTTAAGCGGCTCGTCGAGTGTGTGGTCTTCTGTGTTCGAGCTTCCCACGCATGGACGCTGTACTTCGTCAACAATGGATACAATTTATGTTTGATTATGTTCCTGAAAATGACGATCGTAATCTAGCTCTCTGTGCTGCGCATTTTACGGAAGACAGCTTCCAGAATCTCCACGAATTCAACACTGAATTCATAATACATAAATCCTTTCAGTATGCCCTGTCGAGTGTCTCAAGTTACAGCGACCAACCCCTAAATAAATGAATATATAAGATTTAAAATATCTTTTGGACAAGAGAAAAACATCTACAAAAAAAAAAAAAAACATCTTACCATCTACACTGATGAAAAACCCAATGAAAAACCAGATGCTGTTGGACATTATGAACAATTATCAGGTATTATAATAAGTTGTGTTGTAGCTCTTAAAGATGATCCTCAACCTGATCGAGTGAACATTCAAGATTTAAAGTCTCTATTCATCAGGAAGTGACACATTGACCAGAGAATCTGATGTTACATACCAGATAGGTGGTAAAAACCTTTCAGCATTGAACAATTGTTGATCACGGCTTTTCTCCCTTTCTGGCTTCTCAGCCACTGAGACCTCCCAAGTTATATTCTTAAAAACTCACTTCCACGTATGACATCCACTATTTGTCAGCTTATGTCAGATATTTATGTCATCTTATTAGGTTGCCACCTGGTAGTAAAATGTATATTTAAAATTACTGTTATGTCCAAGTAGTCTTTACGCAACACATTGAATGAAATCTATGTGTGCTTTCACACGTAATTGCCATTATTAAGATTCTCCAACCTGTAAAAAGGGTTCATGTCCTTGTAGAACTCGTAATAACAACTTGTAAACTCGTAATTTTATGACCTATATGCACTATATGACCGCTGCATATTTATTTTGTAGTTGAAAGTGTTTCCTTTGAAATGTATGAATCAGAGTCTGAGAACGTACGTAACCTCGGTTCTCTCTAGAAGAGGGAACGAGTACTGCATAATATTTTACGGTAGGGGAAAACCTATTTTCCATGAGATTTTGAAGCCAAAAAGTATCCTCAATTTTGATTAAATGTAAAACGCGTTGCGGCAGCATGCATAGGCAAGGTGGCTAACGAGCCTATCGAGAGAGGCCCTCCCCGCCAAAGCGGGCGTGGCCTATAAATATAGCTCGTTGGGCTAATGTAGCGATGCTGGAGTCAAAATTGACGTCACGACATGGGCGTGGGCGCGAACTGGTTGGCAGAAAGAACAAAAACATTCGCAGCATTCTACCTGTGTTTTGTCAGCATATGATAATTCTTTGTACGAGACTAAGGTTAAGCTTTTGTATAACCAGGGTTCATGTTCTCTGCCTGATGGAGCAAAAGCCCGAACACGTGGCCAGATTTGACATTCGGCGACATCTACCTGTATGTCATCGACACGACATCTATGTTTATCAAAGTCGATGAAGGCATACAAATCTTTAGATGCATATAAGTCTGAATTACGATTATTACTTGTTTTAACTAAGGATCAGGCCAGCTGACAGTCTTGCCTGGGTCTGGGACAAGATAATC